CACCATGCCCAGCTCGATCTCTCTTTAAAATGGGAACAATGCCATCTGCCCTATAGTATGGAGGTGGAATGTAGTGTGCCTAGCGTTTTTGCAACATTTGGTTTCTAGGATTATTTCAAAATAAAAAGTTAAAAATGCCTATGATTTAGGAAACCAAATAGCCAATCTTGTTAGRTTGATAGTTAAATGGAGATAGTGCTCTGAAGGCCTTATTTGTAATCATATTAAAATAATAATACTCTAAGTTTTAAGAAAAAAATCAATTACTTCGTGTTAGTGATCTCAACTACTCAATGAATGAGAAAGCCCTTACAGGTCACCTAAGGCCACCTGAGGTTCAGGCTACTTCCTTGCCTCACACAGGGCACTCCTGATGCTCATGATGGCAATGACAGCTGGGGGAGGGACTGCTGGGTACAATGTCTCAGGTCCCTAAACTGGGAGGTGTGGAGGCCAGAGGGAAAGGTAAAGGCAGAACTTAGTGGAGGCTGGCTGTGACAATTCCCCCCTGGCCAAGGAAAGACCCAGGACATGGCAAGAACAGCACCTACCATGTGTCTAGCCCGTGACCGAAGTGTGAAAGAAGTAGACAAGGGCCTTGTCTCAAAGGAGGCCACAAAGGTCAGCCAGAGAGATAGGTGTCACATAAAACAGGTTTGGAGGCCAGGCTCGGAGGGGTTCCTTCCATCTCTGGCATCCACTGTCACTCCCAAGGTGGGCACATCCTGGGGTCACTCTTCCTACCACAAAACCCACAAGTTTTCCCCCTGAGTAAGCCTTGCTGGAGAACTGCCTGTCCCACGTGGGCACCCTAACTCKCCTTGGCCTTCCCACGGGCACTGCAGACTGGAAATTCCAATACAGTCTTCAGCCAGTCAGAAAAGCACTTCTAGCACTGGTGAAAATAATTGAGGGTCCTTCCAAGGGAAGTCCCCCTACAACTCTTATGTCAGATCTGACTGACATGAAAATGTCAATAATTGGACTGGCCCCTGGACCCCCTGTAGGCTCCAAGCCCTACCTCTACCRGTGTCACTGCACAACACCCAAGAGCTAATGGGCCTCATCATGTCTTTGTTCAGGTGGCTCAGAACAGAGCAGTTGGACTGAGACTCCAAACACCTACAGACCCCTYCCAGGAAGCAGAAATGCTCATCACATCCCAGCACCTCTAGAGCCCAAACTGAGACCCTCTGGGAAAGAATGCATGCTCTGTTTCCTCTGCTTGGATTTTCCATCCCCTGAAATTCCAGCTGAGGCAAAGGGCTGACAGAGCTGTCCCCAGAGCTTCCTGCTAAGCTTCCCTAGGGTGGCAAGAGAGTTTGCATTCGCTGGGGTTCTGCTGAGTCCCTGCTGCCAGAGGTGAGCCTAGGGGAATTGGCAGGTGACCTCAGACACCATCCCCCAAGGCAGGGAGGTGGAAACAGAGCCTCAAAGGGGTGTCAGGTGACACAGCAGATGCTAAGAGATTACCAGAGAGTGTCACTGCTAGTCACATAGCTGCCTCAGTTTCTCAGAGGTGTATCCTCRGTCATTGGGAGCCACCGTACCTACACTTCATATCCTCCAGGGCAGACAAGAGATGACCAATATGTCCTTCAGATAGGTCAACTCTAGTGCCATTCACCCTGACCCCAGTGAGATCAGAAGGAGTCTGGACTTAGCTGCCACTATCTCTCTGCCTCACTTCTTCCCCTTCTCTGTCCTGCTTGCCTCCCTGCTGTGGGAAACTCACAGGCAAGAGCACACTCTCCAAAATCACTTGCAGATCCATGTTCCTCACTGACCTTCACTTATATCCTCTCCTCTGAGGACCCCCTTTGATATAGCAGGTGGGGTGGGTGGGAATCCTCATGGTTCCCAGCCTGGTTCTGATTGTGTTGGGCTCTTTTGCCCCAGTCCTTTCCCTTCACATTCAATGTRAGGAGTGAGTACAGTAGGAAGGGGGTAAGGTGGATTCCCATGAGCAGGAGGAAGTCCCGGGACCTGGGATGGGGCTTGGGAGCTCTGGGATGGGTTCCAAATGGCCAGCAATGGCATTCTGAAGCCCTGGAGAGTGAAAGAGCAAAGGACAGGAGTTCAAGGGAGAACACTAGTGTGGGAGGGCTGAGAGGGAGCCAAGCCAGGACAAGGGAGACTTTTCTTTTGGAGAAGTGGAGTCAACCTCACTCCCCTTGACAATACTCCCACTATTCACAGTCACCTGTATTTGGGGGCTGGAAGGTGTTCCATGCTTGACTTTTCTCAGCAGGTGGGATGAGGTGAGGGCAGGTGACTTTACCAACAGCTGCCATTTGTTGAGCGTTGACTATGGGACTGTGCCAAGTGCTTCACGTGAATTCTCTTAATCCATACTCCAGTCCTTTAGAGCAAACTGAACTTTGAATAGAGCCCGAGTCTCACAGCAGCCATTGGGTTATTGTCCCCCCAGGCAGCCTGCGTGGAAGGAGCCTTGGTCCCAATGTCAGGCCTAAGAGTTCTGGTGTTGGCTATGCCTCCTGGCTTTGTGCTTTGTGCAAGTCTATTAGCATCCCTTGGCCTCGATTTTCTGGCAAAATGGGACAGTAACCTTACTGGGAGGATCAAATAAGATTATACATGACTGTGTGGTATGAAACGCCAGGTGTGTGAGGCATTGGTAATAAGGGCCAGCATTCATTTGGCACCTACTTGGGTCAGCCACAGTTCTAAGCACTTGAGATGCACTGATTCATTTCATCTTATACAACAGTGTCACAAAGTAGATATTGGTATCATCCCCATTTCTCAAATGAGGAAACTGAGGCATAGAGAGTTTAATACAACAAGTAACTGCCACAGCCAGGGGTCCAGGGCTGACCCCTATACATGGGACTGGGTGGCAGCTGTACAAAGCTGTGCCCTTTGCCCCACGCTCCAACTTCACTAGCCTCCAGGGGTCAGATCTGGGAACCCCTTTCAGGGAGGCCTTTGCTGACCTCCTCAGCTCACAGTGAGTTCTCTGAGCTCCAGTCCTTTCACATTCACAATTGCATGATGGGAGAGGGCCACATCCTGCATTATATGGTTCTCTGATTTTGGAGATGGTCTTATCTTGCACCATATGGAGGGTTCCTTAGATGAAGATCTCCCCTTACTGGCCAGGCCAGCCCTGCCCCTCCTAAACAGCTCACTGGCTGACAGCAAGGAGCTTTTTCCCTTGGAGCTACTGCCAAGAAAGAAGTGGAAGAAACAGCCCATTTTTGAGCAAAAGGGTAGCCTTCATGGCCCAAGGCCAGGTTCACCACCGCACTGCAACAGGGAACCACCCTRTCCTCCTGTTACCTCTAGGATACTTATGCCCACAGCACCCCAGCAGGGCTCCCACTTCCAGGTGAACAGAGCATGCAGACTGTGCTGGAGGAGCATCTAAAGTTGTTGTGGACCTAGATGTTGGCTATTCCAAATTCCCTTGGGATTCAGTATGAAGCCAAATGAAGCAAGAAAGTCAGCCTATAGCAACTTGGAGGTTAGGAACAGAGAAGCCATATTCTGCCTCTGTGGAAGGAGGAGGCCAGGGGTTGTTAGGGTCTGTAAACAAGTCAAGATGGCGCCTGGCATTTTGCCAGAGGGAGTGGTTTGTGAAGTAACGCCAGCSAGCCATTAAGTGTGGAGATTCCTTATTGGTTGACTGCTGTATCTAGTTTATGTTAATTAAGATAAGCTGTGTGGAATGTATATATACCTCTCCTGTCCTACAATAAACGGCTCCCACTCCTGCTGTATCAATGTACACAAGTTGCTCATCACCCCCCGGTTATTTTGCTGCAGCCGGACTGCGGCAAGGGGTGAGATCCCTACATACTTATTTCTGGTCTTCAGAAACTATGGGGTTTAGATGTTCCTCCTTTATAGCTAATTCTCTCCAGCTCTAGCACAAGTCTCTGAGGACAGGCAGTGGTACATGCTCTGGCCTTTTGATGCTTTGGAAGATGGGGGGTGAGTAGGACATCCTTCACAGGGGGGCCACTCTGTGGCTCCCAAGTCTGTTTTCAAGTCAACAAGTAGGTACTGACTGTGGGCTGGGAGTGTGTCTAGGGCTAAGGATTGTCCTGGTGGCTGGCTTAATGGGGGGAGTCGATGGCCAGCATTAACCCAAAGGGAGGGAAGCTTCCCAGGAAACCCAAGCCTAGTGGCCTGGGGACAGGTAGAAGCCCAGGGGAGCCATAAGGCAGTATTATCCACTGGCAGAGACAGGTGTGGGATAAGGGACCTGAGTTCACGCCTCAGTTCTGCYACCTCTACGGGCAGTTACTTAACCCCTCTGAACCCTCAAATCTTCCTCTCTTTGGGGAAATGATAATACCCACCTTGGTGGGAAGATCTGTACATGAAAACAAATAGAGAAGCACTCTGTAATTATGCTGCAGGTCTGCACAAACCTAAGGCATCATAGTAATAGCAGGCCAGGCACACCTGAGACGTCTTCCTCTAAATTACACGACATAATCCGTTGTCTGAAACAGTCCAAATTGATGTTGTGGTTAATGTCCTGGCCTTTATGGCCAGACGAGAGTTGGGTTCAAATCCTGTCTCTCTCAGAATASAGGGATGTTACCTGAGTGTGTAATGACTTGTGAGGCCTTCCGGAGCTCAGATCTGAGGAGTGTGCTCAGTTTGAGGTGACTTACAACTGGACTGGGAGGCAGTAAGAACAGTTCTGCCTACAGTTCCTCTTCCTTTCCTAGAACTTGGCCTCTCCGTGCCTGTTATGAAAAGGAAGCTAAACTCCAAGAGCCTGAGAAACTCCTCAGAGGCTACAAGCCGGAGGTCAGCAGACATAGGACTAGAATGGCTGGAGAAGCCACTTGGAAGACAGTGGCCTTCAAAAATCAGGGGCTTCCRGATCCCCTGGGGATGATTAGTGTGCAGATTTATAGGCCAAACCCACATGGTCTTTCTGGCTTAGCAGCTGACCTCTTGACCTATAAGTGYCCTTCTCAAAGTCACCTTCAGCCCCTTGGGGGGCCACCTGAGCTTACCTGGGAGGAAGGGTATGATCCTTTGCTTGGGGTCCTTCTGGCCACCTTCTATGGGGAATTTATCCAGAAGCTGCATCTAAGGAGGCAGACAGACAGAGAGACGGGATTCAGAAGACTAGACGTCCTCAGCGCCCCTTCCCTACCCCACCCCACTCCACTGCCCACGGYGCTCACACGGATGAGTGACGCCTGAAATCCCTCATTTCACAGACGATTAACAAACCACATGGGGCATGAGAGGGATGAGGCCAGGGCTCTCCGTGCATCAAAGAGGGTGTCTGAATAGTCTCGGGAAGGGGGAGGTGTCTGGAGACACCCAGAGTAGCGAGGCTGGGCCAGGGACCAGCAGGCCTTCAKGCCAGACTGGGGTTGCCAGATGCTTCTTTGGGCTCAGTTCTTTCTTTCTTCATCTGCGGGTGAATCCTTTAGCCACCGGCCATCCCAAACTCTCCTGGGCCARGATGGAGGAAGGCCCCACCTGGTACTTCAGACAGACCACCCACCYTCTAGAACTGCTCTGCAGAAACAGACCCAGATGTTATTTTAATTGCAAAACCAAATCTATCTCATTGTCTCCACTGCTGGAAGACCCCTTCCTCTGCTTCGTCCCCTCCTACCCTGAGATTGCTACCGTTTTTCTAGGGACATACCCACTGGAAGAGTTTCCAGGAGAAACACTGTTTTTTTCTTTAGCTATTCTGGGCTGAAATTCTGTGTAAACTGGAAAAACACACAGGAGTCAGGGCTCCTCTGTGTGCAGTTGATCTCAGTTCTAAGGCACAGGCGGGAAATGCAGCCAGAATCTAGTCTGTGTGACCCTAAGCAAGGCAGGGAACCTTCCTTCCTCAGCTGAGCCCTGGGTACCATCCTTGGTAGAATGAGAGGATCAGTCACATGGTATCTAAAGTCCATTCATTCTTCCATTCCTTCACATCTTTACTGAGCCCATATGTAGAGTACTAGGCACCAAAGAAAGAAGCTAGGGGCCAGGGATGTAGCTCGGTGGCAGAATGCTGGCCAAGCACAGATGAGGACCTGGGTGGCATCCCCAGTACTGAAAAAAGAAAAAAGCCAAAGTTTGCCCACAGGGAGTTTACATTCTAGTGGAAAAGGACAAATGGAAAGGAAATAGGTCATGTCAGGAGAGATACATGCAATGAAAAAAGTGAAGTAGGGTAAGGCACTGGAGCAAGATCAGGGTTGTCACTTCATCTGCAGTGGTGAGAAGTCCTTATGAATCCAGAAGYAATTCAGCAGAGACCCACAGGAGCAGAGGAAGCAAGCCACTCTGGAGGGGGAGGATGTTTCAGGAAAGAAGAACAGGAAGGCAAAGAGCCGGAAAACACCAATGTGGCTAGTGTGGCGTGACCAGGGCAGAGGGACAAGCAACCAGAGGCAGGATGGGCTAGAATGTAGAAGGCCTTGCAGGCTATGAAGACTCAAGAGTTCATCCTGATGCAAGGGGAAGTCCTGAAGTTTTTGTGCAGAAGAGAGACACAAGCTGATCCATGTTTTGAAAAGGTAGCTCCAGCCCCAGTGTAAAGAACAGGCCAGCRGGCGGAAGCCAGAAGACCAATTAGGAGCCTACTGACACCAGCGAGGACACCACTTCAAGGTGTTAGCACTGCAGGTGAAGGAGGTCCTAGGCTAGGTTGTATGTGTGTGCACCTCTGTCCATCTGTCCATTTATGTATCCAGCTCCACACAAGATTTCAGGATTTTCTCTTGCACAATCATTACGTGATATGCATAAAGCCCTTGKATGAAAGGGGGTGGGAGAATTGGTGGATTCCATTCAAAACAAGACAGAGACTGCACCATGATTAACTTTCACTTCCCTGAATACAGATGGCTATTTAGCAAAAGCAAGCTCATGAGTTTTTCATGTTGTAACTTCAAATCTCAAACATTTAATAATCTCCTGCTACACGTAAATATAGCCATTGGGCTATAACTCTATACACTGTACTTAGTTTTTTTTCCTTAATTAATACATTTTCAAACAAATTCTGCTAACTAGAACTCCAATTTTCTCTTTCCTGTTTGCCTTGCTCATATTCTATTTTTATACATTTCATTTCTGTATTACATAAGAAATTCATGCTCACTGAGGGAAAAAACTAGAAATTACAGAAGCATCGGGTGGTCAAAAAAAGGAAAGAGAATCACTTATAATCTCTCTCCCTGAAAAGGCAGCATTAATATCGAGGGCTACGTATATTCTTTCCAGGCATTCTTCCATGCATGTAATTTATGAAATGAACATGTCGATGCTTTTACATTACACAATGAACATTTTTTCCATGTCAATGTACATTTCCATATCAGCATTCTCAATCATGACATGGAATTTCAATGTTTGCATGGGCCATTGTTTATTTACCTACTCCCCTACTGTTGGATATTTAGGTTGTTTCCGACTTTCTGCTAACTGTATACAACATTAGATTGAACAACTTGTCCGTGGATCTCTGCACACTTCCTTTAGACCAACATATTTTTTTTGAAAAAAAATTTTTTTTTGTTTTATCTTGTATTCTATGCGTATTTTATAAGTGCCTTAAATGTTTTCCAGACCACTAAGAATAAATAGATGGATAACTATTATGCGTGGGCCAGGCCTGAGGCCTTCAAGCAACAATTCCATAAGGTCTCTGAGGAGGAGACAGAGACATCTGAGGAGTAATGTAGGCCCAGGGGCATGCCCAGGTATGAAGTGATCTGCCCTTACCTGTACCACTTCTCTCCCCAAACAGGGTGACCAGCTGCACCACAACAAGCTGTGGAACCTTGCCCAAGTGGCTGTCTCTCTCTAGAGTTTACAGGAGGTAAAGTACAGAAACTTAAATTTCCCTCCAGCTCTGCTATATACATTTTCTCTGACTCCTGCGTTTTGCTTTCAGACTCAATACATTGTCACTGAAAATATGGTGCTGAAAGGGGTGGGCGGGGCAGGTGACATTCATGAATCATGTCTTTCCTCCCCAAACACTGACATATACTGACATWTGCCTTGTAGGTGCCAGGCCCTCTGTTAGAAATAAGTCCAATCCCAGCGCTGGCATCAAGGGGCTCCTGCAGCCCAGGGCTATGGGACATGCATGCAAAGCACTGGTATCAGTGAGAAGGCTGGTTCTGGGGCCTGGGCAGGGCCCTGGGCCTCGTTTCTCCCCAGCCTGCAGGTGCTGTTGAAGCTGCTGGTCTGTGGGCCACACTCTAAGCAGGAAAGCTCTACAGSGCTACAGTCCACATGGCAGCCCCTGGTTACATGTGGCACTGAGCACTTAAAACGAGACTGGTCCAAAATGAGATGTTTTGCATGTGTCAACCATACACYGGATTTCCAAGGCTTAGCATCGAAAAAATGTGAAATGTGAAAGAATTCTGTGCTGATTGCATGATGATATTTTAGATCAGGATATCAATAAAATTATTTAAATAATTCATTTCACCTATTTCCTTTTTATGTCTTTAAGCAGCTACTAGAAATGTTTAAATTACGTACGTGGCTCTTTCTGTTGGACAGTGCTGCTCTAGAGCGTGATGGCTCTCGGAATGTGCGGTGATGTTTCTGCTCACCTGATTTGCATGGGGGCCSGTTGGTTAAAAATGCAAGTTCCTGGGCCCCACATGGAAGCATGTGAAACTTTGATCTGGTGCTAGAGACAGACAAGGAAAGTCCAGAGTGATGGAGAATGGAAAAGATATAGAATAGGAGCCCATGGGAGCTGAAGGGAGAGGTCAGGGGAGGCTTCTGGAGGAGGCAAGTGACAGTCACAACCTGTGTCTTCCTAGTCAAAGGGCAGTCTGAATTCCCTCACTGGGTTCCTGTGCCTCCTGGAAGGAAGGGTCATGTGACAGTCTGGCAAATAAGTAGGCAGATTCGATTTTCCTCCACAAGGCCTCCTGAGGGGTGCTTGGCAGCAGCCTCTCACCTACCTTTTCTTTCAACGGCAGATTTTCCTCGTCCTGCACCTCTGGTTCCATCTAGCCTTCCCCTCCCCTCCTACTCCCAGGCCAACATAAGCCCATCCACTGAGACTCCTGGATCAACCAGTCCACTCCAGGGCTGTGAGCCCCTAGCTGGCCTGCTTCCTTCCTCTAGTCCTCAGGAACCCACTCCAGCCCTGTCACCTATTCCTACCATCACGACTAAGCCAGCAGGACCTTGGTGTTGGCCCTCCCCATCAGTCTTCCCTGGAGCCCGCGGGCCATGGGAGAAGGAAGTCCAGCTAACCAGCTGCCAGTGACAGTTTCTCTGCCCACAGGTCACCTTGAAAAAGAAAGCAAATTCCCTGGCTCTGATTCCACAACAAACCAAACAGAAGCACCCAGCCAAGCTGCTTCTGTGTAGCCACAGCAGAGCTGCGCCATGCAGCCTCTTGGCCCACAAGATGGCGGATGGTGGGCAGTGGGACCATGCTTGACACACAATGCAAATGTTGCCCCTTCTGGGTGACCAGGAAGACAGCACAGTGGGTTCTTTGACCTGGTCGGTGGCTGATGTGCAGGGTTAGGTTCCACAGATAAAACAACTGCACGAAAGGCTGAGTTGAGGGGGCTGTCTGCTGGAGGCCCCCGACTGGGCCTTCTGACTGGGCCTTCCGTGAGGAAGCCTGGGTGCGTGGGCCGTGAGGAAGGAAGACTCCGCCCAGCAGGGAGCTCTGCGGCCACCTTTTCAGGCAGGAAGTAGAGTCTCCCAGCAAGGCCCTTACTCAGGCTGGAAGAAAAACAGATCCCATTGCCAGGATCCTTTTTGGAGTGAGGCGTCTGGCTAATGGAGCCCCTTGCAACTTCTCAGAGTGGGGAGGAGGCCGGCTGTTTACCTAAGGGGTGGATGGTGTGAGAGATACAGGACAGTGCGGCTCCAGGAGCTGGTTCCAGCCAGAGAAAGCTGATTCGGCAGCTCTCCACGCAGGGCTCTACAGCAATAAACACCGGGAGAGGAGGGTGGGCCCCGGCCCAGCTGAGGCACATCTGTAACCCAAGAGGCCCACTCCTAGCCTGCAGAGAAGGTGGAGTTCCCAGAGACTTCAGCCTTGGTGCCCCAGTCTCCAACCTTAATCCCTGGGACCC